TTGTTTTTGTTTTTTTGGTTTTTTCGAGACAGGGTTTCTCTGTGTAGTCCTGGCTGTCCTAGAACTAACTCTGTAGACCAGGCTGGCCTCGAACTCAGAAATCCGCCTGCCTCTGCCTCCCAAGTGCTGGGATTAAAGGCGTGCGCCACCACCGCCCCGGCAGCAGTCAGTGCTCTTAACCACTGAGCCATCTCTCCAGCTCCCAGGGACACAAATCTTTAATCACAGCACTCAGGAAGTAGAAGCCAGCAGATCTCTTTGAGATTGAGGTTAGCTTTGTCTACATGGTAAGTTCCAGGCCAGGGTCACATAGTTAGCCTCTGTCTTATAAACGAAAACAAGAGGGGCGTGCTAGACAGATGGCTTGGTGAGTAAGAGCACTCATCAGTCTTGCAGCGGACCTGCGTGTGGTTCTCAGCGTTCTCAGCGGGCTCACAGTCACCTCACCTGCTCCAGCTCTAGTGGATTAGAAACCTTCCCAGGATCTGGTGTGCATATGGTGCACATAAGCTTGCATACGCACACACAAACACATCGTTAGTTGTTGAAACAGAGAGGAGGAGGAAACGGCTTTTAGGCCAGGAATTAGTAGTGTCCCCAATTCCTCACACAGTCCCTGAACTTCCCCTGACTGTATTATAGAAACTGTGTCTTCTGTTTCTCTTCACCAATGTTCTGAGCACATTAAGAATCCTTAAGGGATATGTGAACAGCATATTTATGTATTTGCTGCTACCCTGGTTTAGAGAGAGACTGTCAGGCTCCTCATTTAGCTGCTCACTAGCTTCGGGTGGCAGGGCTGGGGCCAGGGTCTGGGCCGTGTGCAGGCTAGGCAAGCACTTTGGCCCTGCATGGTCTCTCCAGTCCTTGGCCAGTGTTTTACCCTTTCTGTACTTCAGTTACAGCATAGGATGTGGATGGCAGAATTTACCTCTTTAATGTGTCAGGGATGGCACAAAGTGCCAGACTCCAAGCTGGAGCTGGCCATGATGGCACACGCCTTTAATCCTAGCAGCTGGGAGGCAGAAGTAGGTTGATCTCTTGAGCTTGAGGCAAGCATGATCTACAGAGCTAGTTCTAGGACAGCCAGGGCTACACAGAGAAACCTTGTGTTGAAAACAAACAAACAAACAAAAGACAGCTTGAACTAGGCCTATGGCTGTCTTTAGTGAAGGCTGGAGTGCTGCTCTGAACTCTCCTTTCTGTCTTCCTTGGATATAGAGTCAAGGTCAGATCCCCACCAGAAGCTGGTAAGCAGTTACCAGAGATTGTCTTCAGGAAGGATGAGAAAGTCCTGAGTCGGAGCCAGGAGCCTGCTGTCAGCTCCAACCCCAAAGACAGTGAGGCTCAGAGAACCCTTGGTAAGCTTTCTTTGTAGAGATTTTGTTTTCAAGAACTGCAGCCTGGTCTGTATTGTCTGAGCATTGTGCTCTGGAGGCCACACAGGAAGCCTGTGGAAGGAAGAGAGACAAGAGACCTCTCCTCGTCCCTGGCTGGCCTCATTTCCTCAGTCTAGAGCATGTTGCCTCATATACAGCTCCAGTCACGTGTCCAGCCTGTGCATGTCCGTTGGTTTCCCTTTATTCTATCCCACTGTCCTAGTAAGTGATTCTGACACGTGCTTAGCCTTTCCCTGAGTGACACTGTCATCTCCAGGCTTATCCAGGTATTATGGCATTGGATTTACTCATTCATAGAAATCCTTGTCTGTAGAAACTGGAGAGATGGCTCAGCAGTTGAGAAAACTTGCTTGCCCTCCAGAGGACCCTAGTTTACCTCCCAACACCCACATCAGGTGGTTCGTGAAACCTGTAAACCCCAGTTCCAAGGGGTCCACAGCCCTTCTGGCCTCCACAGGCACCCATAAACAAGGCACACACACAAATAAAGATGAGTCTTTTTTAAAAAAAGACTCATTTGTTCATTTATTATGTGTTCTGCCTGCGCATATGCCTGTGTGCCAGAATAGGGCACTTGATCTCATTACAGTTGGCTGTGAGCCACCATGTGGTTGCTGGGAATTGAACTCAGGACGTCTGGAAGAGCAACCAGTGCTCTTAACCACTGAGTCATCTCTCCAGCCCTAAGATGAGTCTTTTTACAAAGGAAAATTACTGTATGTGTACTACTGTCTTCAAGATAGGTTGGTGGAGCTGGGGTCTCTGGCTCAGAGGATACGATTGCCTTTAAGAATATTGACAGTCCACATCAGATCAGGTGGGCGGTCTGCATCCATCAGAATGCAGGCGAAACATAACAGCTGATGCTGGAATACTGGGTGTCTGTCTAACATGCTGGGCACTGTGCATGTCTACAGTCTTAGTACTTGGGAGGCTGAGGCAGGAAGAACATCTGTCCCCAGTCAAGGTGAGGCCTATGCAGCAAAGAGAAACGGAATTTGGGGGTAAATGCTAAAATGGAAAGGCAGAAAAGTCCATGTTGGATTTTGTTTTTCCTTTCCTAATGTTTTGGGGAGAGGGGTTTGTGTGACCAGGCCTTGGGCTCCTGCTTCCCTGCCTTCCCCTCTGAACCCAAGCTACACTCACTGCTGTTCTTAGACTGCTCTTCCTGAGGCTGCGGCTCTCTCCAGACATCCGTGTGCTGTGTTAACTGTCGGTCCCATTAGAGCATTAGAGACCTGTGCATATTCAGCACTTACGTTGTTGTTTACTTTTCCCTGGATTTGTTGAAAGCTGATGCAAATTAAGAGTCAGAGGAAAGAACTAGAGTGTAGAGTGCTGTTCTGTGCCTACTCTGGCTCTGCTTGTACAAATCCCCCGTGTTTATCAAACACCCTCTTCCTGTAGTAGGGTTGAATTGCCTTCCCCAGGAAGGTATCCACTCTGTTCCAGAAGAGGGCACCAGATTGTGGTTGCTGGGAACTGAACTCCTAGCTAGCCTTGAGTTCTCTATGTAGCTGAGAATGGCCTTGAACTTCTTATCATTCCCTAGTAAGCTTTTTTTTTTTTAAAATTAAAATACAACTATGTAATTTTTCTCCATTAGTAATCTTAATACACTGCTGTTGGGGGATCCTAAAAAAACCAATAGCGACAAAAAAGAGTTTTCAGCAGCAAGACATCTGCAAGTACAGACTGGTGGGGCAAGTCAGTGGTGAGCCGGTTTACCGTGCACAGGCCGAGGGTGGGGTGTCATCCCCAGTGCCACACAGAGGGCGTGGCTACACTAAGCTTTCCGAGTGAATCAAGTCAGTTAGATTCTTGTTAAAGTGCCTCTGATAGTTGTTCGGAGTGGCTTCTCTGCCGTTTTCATTGTTTGCACAGAGGCTTTCCTGTTGGTTTTGCTGTGATTAGCACAGCAACATCTGTAGGATGTACGCCACTTTGATTTGCTGTTTCTACTGCACAGGCATTATCTCTGGGGACCTGAGGAGGTGGAGGCCCTGTGATTTGTTTGTTTTGGTGATGGGTTATTGATAAGCTGGAGCCTATACAATGATAATGCACTGTATGTGTGTGAGCTGAGCGAAGCAGTGATACCTCTCAATGTTTGTGCTTCTAGATGGTTCCAAGGCTAAACGAAGTACAGCGGACTCAAAGGTAAGCACAGACCTCCCTCTTCTCAGGGTCTCTGGATGTGTGTATGTGCTTACATGTATGTTTGTATGTGCATATATGTGTGCATGATACATGCTTGTGTTTGGAGAGACAGCATCAACACACTGAAACCATTTTGAACTGCCTCCTGCCTCCATCTCTGAAGCTAGGATTATAGGTGCACACACCAGGACTGGCTTTGTTTGCTTGTTGGTTTTCTTCCTTCTAACGGTTTTGTGATTGGGTGACAATAAACTGCCCGTGCCTAGAGGGACAGGTACATGTGACCTGTCAAGCAAGATGGTGAATGTATTCATCACCTCAAAGATTTCTCCTGCCCCTTTGTCATCCCGTGCCCAAGGAACAGTCGCTGCAGTAGATAGTGGCTACAGGGAGCCTTATAGAAACACAGCATGCAGATGTATTCTCCCGTTGCCTTCGTTCAGCCTAACCACCCGAGTTTCTCCCACTCTCGTGTGCTCGTAGCTGGTCTCTTCCCATGGCTTGGTGTGAATCGCGTTGCAGATGGTGGCGCTCCTGTCTGAGTCAGAAGCAGAGTGTAGGTGGGATGTTTGTTTGGCTCTGCCCAGGGCAGCATCCTTGGTCTTGTAGAAACTTTAGAGATGTGTTCACAGGAAGACCGGGGAAGGAGTTATAGAGTAGCCAAGAAGGAAGGAAGCTGAGGAAGGAAATGGGAAAGGGGAGCCGCCTTCTGAGACAGGATCTCAGATCTATCTGGAAAGGCAGTGAACGGCCTTGTCAGAGGGCTCTTGAAGGTCAGCAGTCTTGAGGAAGAGATTTGGTGGTTTGTTTTGTTTTGTTTTGTTTTGTTTTGTTTTAGTTGGCTTTAACTTATTTTTATGTATGAGTGCCCTAGTTAGGAATTCTATTGCTATAAAGAAACAACCATGACCAAAAGCAGTCTGGGGAGGAAAGGGTTCATTGGGCTCACATTTCTGAATCATAGTCCATCACTGAAGGGAGTCAGAACAGGAGCTCATGCAGAGCTGGAACCTGGAGGCAGGACCTGATGCAGAGGCCATGGAGGGTGCTGCTTACTGGCTTGCTCCCCATTGCTTGTTCAGCCTGCTTTCTTACTGAAGCCGGGACCACCAGCCCAGGGACAATGGCTGGACCGTCTCCCATCAATCGCTAATTAAGAAAATGCCCTACAGCCAGATTTTTTGGGGTCTTTTCTCAATTGAGTTTCCTTCCTTTCAGATAACTCTAGCTTGTATCAAGTTGATGTAAAAGTAGCCAGCACAGTGAGTGTTTCCCTGCATATATGTATGCACATCATATGTGTGTCTGTGCCCATGTTAGTGAGGAGAGATCCTGTTGGATCCTCTAGAACTGTAGTTAGAACCTGTGGGCACTGGGAACCAAACCCGGGTTCTCTGCAAGGGCAAGCTGACAGGAGGGAGGTCTGCGCTTACCTTTGAGTGTCCTTGACCAGTCAGTCATCTCTCTGGCCTGACTAGCTTGAATTTTTTTTTCAACACAGAGTTTTTCTTTGGGTAGCCCTGGCCATTCTGGAACCTGCTCTGTAGTCTAGGTTGGCCTCAAACTCAGAGGTTTGCCCTCCTCTTTCTCCCAAGCGATGGGATTAAAAGCTTAGCTTTAATTTTTTATTTTAAGTGTTTGGGCATTTTGCCTGCAGGTATGTGTATGTATCATATGTATTCAGTGCCCACAGAGGCCAAAAGAGGGCATAGAGCCTCTGTGATTGGAATTACAGACACCTGCGAGCTCTGTGTGGAAACTGAGCCTGGGATCTCTTCAAAACTAGTCAGTGCTCTTTTTTTTTGTTTGTTTGTTTGTTTTTTGTTTTTTTTTTTAGAGACAGGGTTTCTCTGTATAGCCCGGGCTATCCTGGAACTCACTCTGTAGACCAGGCTGGCCTCGAACTCAGAAATCCGCCTGCCTCTGCCTCCCAAGTGCTGGGATTAAAGGCGTGCACCACCACTGCCTGCCAGTGCTCTTAATCATTGACCATTCTCTTCAGCCCCCACAGCACCCCATCAGCTTTGACTTTCCCTAAGGATGTTTTCTGCCACTGTTGTCCTGAAACAGAGTCTTGTGTCTTTTCAGGCTATAGCAGAGAAATTCTTCCAAGTTCATAAGAGTGATGGGGCTGTCTCATTTCAGGTATGTGTCACCTTGGAGTAAAGTTTACTCCATCTCTGCCATGTGAAAGTCTTTACTGGCACCTTGGTTATAGGGACAGTAACTCACTGCGTGTGATCCCTGGACTGCAGGACCACCCCCCCTCCCGCCACTAGGGTGTTAGCTCTATCTGCTAACCTAAGTTGTGAGTCTCTGACCCTGAGAAACCTCGTGAAAGTGCAGTGAGGTAAGAGGCCCAGACTCCAGCTCCACTCAGCTTGGGTCTCCATTCGCAGTCCGTGCTGACTCCCACTCAGGCTGACAGGTCTACCCCTGGAAGGACCTGTGCTGGGAGTTGAGAGTGATGTAGTTTTAGAGGCCTTGGGTGCCTGCCAGCCAGCCCAGCTGTGAACTACATGTGGATGTCCCCTGGCAGTGGCACATGGTGTTTTCCCATGCAACCTGTGTTTGTGTTTACTCGGAAGAGCCACTGAGCTGTAACATGCCCACAGCGACATACACTGGTCCTGTGTGTATAGGACTTTTGATCACTGAGACAATTAGTGGCTGATGGAGTTCACGTCTCAGAAAATAAAGTTGTTTGTTGACTTATAAATGAGATGCTGTCTGACCTTTGGCTGTCCCTCTGCTGACCTCAGCAGAGCCATCCCAGATAGGTAGATATGGAGGAAGTGAGGCTGCAGGGCCCAGGCAGCTGGACACAGGTGATCACCACATGGTTCCACCACGTGTCTGTGCTTCAACACTGGCAGAAAGTGCTAGAGGCCCACAGCATGAGGACACCCTGTCCGACCTCTGTTCTGGGGATTCCAAGGCCAACGAACCTCTGTCTGCTGAGGCCCCTAACTTATTGTTGGGACTGGGAGCTACAGCTTAGGCTGTGAGGAGCTCTTCCTTCTCTCTTCCAGTTCTTCTTCAACATCAGCACCGACGACCAGGAAGGCCTCTACAGCCTTTACTTCCACAAGTGCCCAGGCAACAACGTGAAGTCTGAACAGGTCTCATTCAGCCTAAATGTGAGTGCCACATGGGCCATCCAAAAGGATGCTGTCAGTGTGAGACAGCCATCTGCTTCTCCATAAGACTAGGGTGGACTGCAGGAGGCTTTCTGTTTTATTTTGCTTTGGTTCTGATGCTAGCAATGCACCAGGGCTTTGTGCATCCTGAGAGCACCCATTGCTGTGGAGGTATGGGAACCACTACTGTGAGGAGGTGGGGCTGGCCAGGACCCTGCAGTGGGCAGGGTGCTCCTGCAGAGAGCTGGGTGGGGTATGTCTTCCAGCCCAGACAGTAGCAACCTGCTTGTTACAGGCTGGCACACATGCTTTCAAGAAGAAGCTATGCATGTGTATTCCTGACTAGAGACAGTCTGTTTCTAAGAGGGATGCACCTTATGTTGGTTTCAGATTGATATCACGGAGAAGAACCCTGACAGCTACCTCTCTGCCGGGGAGATTCCTCTCCCCAAGTTATATGTTTCCATGGCCTTGTTCTTCTTTCTGTCAGGGACCATCTGGATTCACATCCTTCGTAAGCGAAGGTAAGTGCTCCAAGTGTGTGGAGAGCTGCAAGATTTCATCCTCCTGGACTTTGCTCCTGGGAGAGGTGGCATTGAACAGCCCTGCTGTCTTCCAGGGTGTCTTTCTTGAGAGACTGAGAGGCTAGGCAGGAGCCTCTAGTGGGAGAGGCTCTGTCTACTCCGCTATTGGCTCACTCTTAGTGTTTTGTTTAGAAGGCTTATCCAGATGTTAGAGTAAACACACAAACAGCCAAAACCCAAGTGTTGCCCTTGCAAAGATGCTGAAGTCCTGGACACTTTGCACAGAGAGCATGGTGGGTGGTACCTTTTAGGAGACACCCATCTTGAGAAGAGTTAGTGATGATATCAGTCACTGTCAGTGAAAGCTTAAAGCTTCCAGCTCTGAAGCATTGGCCAAAAGCCTCTCTGGACTTTTTCTTTTGACTGCCAGGAGCTTGACCCTGGGAAAAACCCATTTGGAATCCATCTGCCTTTCACCTGAACCCTTGTCCCAAAGCCCCGAGGCTCTGACTTCCTCTTCTCTGTTGTTGAGGGGAGTGGCCGCATAGGAATGGATTCTGTCTCCTGGCCCAGAAATCTTAGAGCAAAATAGTGTAAAACATTTTTACATTAAAAGACCTTTAGGGGCTGGTGAGATGGCTCAGTGGTTAAGGGCACTGACTGCTCTTCCAGAGGTCATGAGTTCAAATCCCAGCAACCACATGGTGGCTCACAACCATCCACAATGAGATCTGATGCTCTCTTACAGGGTGTTTGAAGACAGCTACAGTGTACGTACATGTAGTAAATAAATAAAAACCTTTAAAAAAAAAAAGACCTTTAGACTTGAGGTCTGCAAAACAGTGTTACCCAAAATTCACATGATAATTAAGTGCCCCAGACACCTCTTTCTGGAGCACTGGAGCAGAAGCTGAAACCCTTGGTGTCTTCATTGCATTTTAATGGACACTCAAGAGTCTTGGATTTGGGCCCTTTTAAAAGAATCTTCCATGCTGACAAGAGCATTTATTAGTGGGTAAAAGCACCTGCTGCCTAGCATAATGACCTGAGTTCAGTGCCCTGGTTCCATGTAATAGTTCCTGACTCCGGCAGGTTGTCCTCTGACCTGCACTGTACACCATGGCCCTTCCCCAGGCACACTTTGACTTCCTGTCTGCCTCCTTACTGTGCCTCCTCATTCCTCAGCTACACCCCTGGGGCAGTAATAATTGGCCTTCTTCCTGCCGGGCCTCTCGCATACTTAGTTAGCTCTGCTGTGTCTTCACACCAGAATGTGCGATGAGTACTCGTGGCCCCCTCCCTTTCCCATGCTCCCTGCTGTTTCATTTTCCTTTCCTCAGCAACGGCAGTGTCATCATCTCAGCTCCCTTGGCTAAGATGGTGGTTAGGTGGGGCTGGTCTGTTTTGTGCCAGTCATGTTTTTAATTGAATGTGGATGTGTACATATCCAAAAAGATGCAATTTGAGGTATGCCAGTAACAGCCATGTAACAGCCAGCGAGTGCTGGTAGGTTGGAAGTGTGTATTTCACATGGGCATATGACCCCAAGGCCGCAGGGGGTGTCTAGGACACTCATTAGGGCCAAGAAGAATGATACATCTTTGTCACATAAATGTACTGAGGCTCAGAGAGTGGAAGTGAGCTAGCCAGTGACTGAACTGGCACTGGAGGCTGCCTGCTGATGCTTGTCTCTCCTTTCAGGTTTAGTATGCCATGCACCGCAGAGTGAGAGCAAGCAGTGCTGGGCTGGCAGGGGGAGAGGCAGCTGATGATGTTCAGTCCTCGTAGGTGGGCTGCTCTCCTAGGTTTGTTGCCGTGTAGCTGTGCCATTTCAGAGATGAAGGTCATGAGGACCAAATCAGAGTCAAGGCCAGGTCGCCATGACTTCGGAGCCTTTCATTGTCCTAGCAGGGGTGTTTAATTGAGGACTGAAAGTCAAACTGGCCAGGCTGTAAGTGGGCAGTGCTGTACTTTGGGTAAAGCCGCTGCCATTCAGTAGCAGACTGCTCTGGCATAGACTTCCTTTTTGACCTTCAGTGAGGAATCACCAGAACAGGAAAGTACCCAGGAGATAAGCCAGAAGCCCAGTGTGGGCAGGCTGTGGTGTGGTCTCATCATCTCTCTGTGTGTGCTCCTCTCTCAACTGACCATCCCCCACCACTTCCTGTCCCTCGCTCACTTCTCCTTGACCATGGAAAGTCACCCCAATATGCTGAGTATATAGTTTGGAACGATTGTATGTTCTTGTAAGTAATATCTGTGGTATGTTGGGAGTTTTTTTGTTGTTGTTATTGTTGTTTTGTATATGATTTAAATGTATAGAAAGTGTTGTCTGCAGATACAACTATTTAAAATCAGTGACACTGCCAGGTATCGGTACACACATTTAATTCCAGCATTTGAGAGGCAGAAGCAGGTGATCTCTGTGAGTTCGAGATCAGCCTGATGTACAGAGTGAGGACAGCTAGGGTTGCACAGAACTGCACTGTACACCATGGCCCTCCCCCAAGCACAGGGCACTGAACTCTGTCTGGAAAAAAATAAGTTCGTGACACTTTTTCCATCAGCCATGCTGCTGTCTGCATCCAGATGGCTGATTTTTCCCACTCCTCTGTGTTTTATGGGCTGCGTACGTCCCCACGGGTCCCCCCGAAGTCCCTAGAGACAGGAGTACGTGCAGGTTGCCGCAGCCTCCTGCTCCCGCAGAGTGCTGTAGGAGCCTTGTCTCCTCCTACCTTCTGAGCTCTCCTGGGGACCTGTCCTTTGCAAGTTTCATGGAGTGTTGTTAGATTGCCCACCTCGTGGCTGCACCATGGTCCACTCTGCCTGGGAGCTGAGTTCTGTCACCATCCTCTCACTACAGCTGGCCTCTTGGTGTGTGCCAGTCTGGTGTGTGTAAGTGGGTTGTCTGACTCCTCAGTGTCCCTGAGGGGACTCTCACTGCAGGCCTCTAGTGCTTGTACATTGGATTTTCTCCCTGTCTAGCTGCTTTATATGAACAAAAGTCTTCCGTGTTCTAGATCAGTTCCTTGTCTGGCTACACATGCAAGTCTTGTCTCCGGTCGTTATGGTCACTAGGCTTGTCAGCAGTGAGTGTTGTTAAATGAAAGGTTTGACTGTGATGAACCCCCACCACCTAATTTTATCTTTGGGGCCATGTGTCTTGGGTCCGAGGGGCCCTTTAGGATTCCAGGTCACAAGGTATGTTTCATTCACAGCTGGGCTCATCTGGAATCGCTCTCAAGAAGTAGACAGTGAGTCCAGTTTACTTCCCTCCTCTTCCTCTTCCTCCTCCTCTTCTTCCTCTTTGTCTTCCTCCTCCCCCTCCTCTTTTTCTTTCTTTTCTTCCTTTTTTTTGGGGGGGGGGTGTTGGTTTTTCAAGACAAAGTTTCTCTGTTCAGCCCTGGCTTCCTGGAACTCCCTCTGTACACCAAGCTGGCCTCAAACTCAGAGCTCCACCTGCCTGTAACCACGGGCTTCTCCACCCACACCCAAGTTCACCAAATAATGGCATGAGACTTAATATCTCTTGAGTAAATGCCTAGATCAATAGCTTTGGCTTGTTCCCCCACCAGCTCATAACTTACCCATTTCTTGTATTCTAAGTCCTGCCATGTGGTTGGTTACCTCTCCTTAGTTTCATACGACAGTCCCCTTCAGTGCTCCAGGGTGTACATCCCCTCCCCCCGAACACATCCCCACACCTGACTATGGGATAATTCCTCCCTCTGTACTGGAACTTCCACCTCCCTAGTTCCTGCCTAAGCTAATAGGTCAACAGCGTTTTATTGACACGTGATACTTCCATACAGTGCACAGGAGATTCTCTCAGCCCGCCTCTGCCGCCCGAGTGCTGGTATTAAAGGCGTGTGCCACCACTGGCCGCAGCTTTACTTCCTTCTGTGTGTAGCTCTCAGATGATTTTTTGCTACTGCAATGGTCTGTCCTTTCCCACCTATGTGTGTGGGTCTTCCTTCTGCGCTTCCTTATCTGTTGCTTTGTTCCCCTTGGTGATAAATATTCCTCATGTACTTACTACAGTGCCATCCCAACATGATGTGTGAGGGTGTGCGCATGCCCTGGGCTCTTGGTGGGTCTTTGTTTACTTTAAGAGTCTTATTTGTTGGGAGGCAGAGGCAGGCAGGTTTCTGAGTTCGAGGCTAGCCTGGTCTACAGAGTGAGTTCCAGGACAGCCAGGGCTACACAGAGAAACCCTGTCTCGAAAAACCAAAAAAAAAAAAAAAGAAGAGGAGTCTTATTTGTCTCTGAGACAGCCTCCTTGAGTTCTTTTCTGCAGGAGTCGGGGTAGACATAGAAGGAAGACTCTAATGCCTGGAGCTCAAGGGTGGCCTAGAGCCTGTGAGAGGGGATGAGTGTGGAGCTTTATCCAGCAGGCTTGTAAGAGGGAGGAAGGGCATGATGCCAGCACTGTCTCCTCACCTGTCACCACGACCAGCTCCCAGGCCTTCTGTGTTGGGCTCAGACATCCTCAGATACATCTCATTTTCTGTCTTCCCTGGGATTTCATATTGTCTTCAGGACTGCTCTTCTTATTCCTGTGTGGCTGATTCAATGTGGTTTCCAGGGAAGAAGTTGGTCGGTGTGTAGATGTCCATCTTAGCATGCCTCAAGAGATATCACACCTGTCTGCAGGGCATAACTCTGTTACTGCGTTAAACTGTGTGCTGGAAATGTCGAAGGGCTCTGACTTAGTTCCTTTTCTATTGCTGTGCTAAGATGCCATGACCAAGGCATCTTGTGGAAAAGAGATCTTATTTGAGGCTTCCAGTCCCAGAGGGTGAGTCCACGACCATCATAGTGAGAGCACTGCAGTCGACAGGCATGTGTTGTATCCAGAAGCTCACATCAACAGTTCTACTAACTGCAAACCAAGCTTATCTGTACCAGCCTGTGGGAGCCTTTCTCATCCAAACCACCACAGATTCATTCCTACTGGATTCATTTACTGGAAAACTGCTTTGTATAAAAAAAAAAAAGACTTCATGTTTGTGGTTAGTTCAGATTGTACTTGATGCTTGCTTAGAAATGTACCTGATGGAGCCAGGTGTGGTGCTGCACACCTTTGATCCCAGCACTCAGGAGGCAGAGGTGGGTAGAGCTCTGTGAATTCCAGGCCAACATGGTCTCCATAGTGACTTCCAGGATGGCCAGGGCTATATAGAGAAAGCCTGTCTCAAAAAGAAGAAGAGGAGGAGGAAGAAAAGGAGGAAGAAGAGGAGGAGGAGGAGGAGGAGGAAGGAAGGAAGGAAGGAAGGAAGGAAGGAAGGAAAGAAGGAAGGAAGGAAGGAAGGAAGGAAGGAAAAAGAAGTACCTGCTACTGTGGCTGCCTTTGGGAAAGCGGAGTCTTTTAATTCTTTCTTCTCTCTTTTTATAGGAATGATGTATTTAAAATTCACTGGTTGATGGCGGCCCTTCCTTTCACCAAGTCTCTGTCCTTGGTGTTCCATGCAGTATGTATTAGCATGTGGGGTCATTGATGAAATGAGGAATGTACATACTTGATTGGGGAAAGAAGTTAGAAGGCAGGGCCAGGTGGGAGAGGAAGGGCAAGAACCTGCTTTCCATACAGAAAGCCCCTTTGTGCACAGAGCTGGCCATAGGGCCAGTGAGCTAGCTCAGCCTTGAATTCTACTTACAGGCCATAGTCTTTCCAGAACTTTATTATTTTATTGTTTTTGAGACAGTCTCATGCTATAGCCAAGGCTAACCTTGAACTTGTGTGATCCTGTTGGCTCAGCCTCCTGATGCTGGGATCATAGGTGTCTCTATGCATATCAAATGCTTCTCCCCCCCCCCCCCCCCCCCCGCCAATCCCCTTGTTTCTGTCATCTGGAGGTGAGTGCGCCCCCTGCTAGGTCATTCCTGAACTTCCCTTGTTTTACTAAGCATCCTTGTATCTCAGTGAAGTTCAGTGTTAGTAAATTACCAGAGGAAAAAACAAGTCTTACAAAGATCTGGAGTCCAAGAACTGAGCTTTGACTACTTGAGAACTGGTGCACGTCAGAATGAGCTTGCCTGTGGGCTTGCCTGGGGGGTTGCCTGGGAGCTTGCCTGGGGGCTTGCCTGGGGGTTGCCTGGGGGCTTGCCTGTGGGGTCAGGATTTACGGGTTGGGGTCTATGGGGTATACATAAAGCAAGTGCTAGGCTCTTCTTCTGCACTTGAAAATGGGGTCATAGAAGAAAGCAAAAATACACCTAGTTATGGAAACAGGACACAGAAGTTACTTGGCTAATTCCTCCTTTGGATTTAAGTTAAAAGATTCTCAGGAGGGCTCTGAACTACTTTAAAATCTAGATGACTTTTAGAAAATAAGCCTGTACTGTGGCCAGCTTTTCTAGTCCTGACAGCAGCCAGCCTCTGAAGTTCAAATGTGCAGCAGCTCTGAGTATCCAAGCTTAGACTGCTGAAGCCAGGTCACTGTACAGATCTTCTGACTGACTAGCTAGCTGTTGTCTTACTGGGAGCAGCAGGACTTCAAGACAACGTACCTGGCCGAGAATGAGAGTGTTTGCCAGTATGAATTGAGAGAGTGACCTGGGCTAGGTGTTAGGGTCATCAACACCTCTGTCAACCTTTCTCAGTTAAGTGTGTTAGCACACTCATGTGCTTGCTGCTGACTCAGCAAGGGAAGCATTAGACAGTGGGCTGAGCGGGCACAACCCATTCCTCATCCCACGGTCTCTTGAAGTTATTTATTGCTTTACCCTGCACTGAGATGCATGGCACAGCCTTTCTGAAACACAGCTGTTTGATTTCAGATCGACTACCACTACATCTCCTCGCAGGGCTTTCCGATTGAAGGCTGGGCTGTTGTATACTACATAACTCACCTGTAAGTATGGAGGTCCACAAGACAGTGGTGGTAATGCCTGCATCATGAAGTGGCTTACAAAGACACTCAAGGCTAGAGCTGGGGGAGGGCTCAGTTGAGAGTGTCTGCCAAGCTTTCATGAGTCCCTGAGCTCCATCCCCAGCACTGCATAAATCTGGAATGATGGTGCACACCCACGATCCTAGCACTCAGGAGGAGAAGGAAGAGGCAAGAGGATCAGAAGTTCAGGATCATCTTTGGCTGCATTTTGAGTTAAAAGTTTGAGCTAGCTTGAGTTACTCAACATACATACATACACACACACACATACATACATACATGAGGGACTAGAGAGATGGCTCAGTTGCTAAGAGCACTGGCTGTAATTCCACAGGTCCTGAGTTTAATTCCCAGCAACTACATGGTGGCTCAAAATCATCTATGATGCTGGGCGGTGGTGGCGCACGCCTTTAATCCCAGCACTTGGGAGGTAGAGGCAGGCGGATTTCTGAGTTCGAGGCCAGCCTGGTCTACAGAGTGAGTTCTAGGACAGCCAGGGCTACACAGAGAAACCCTGTCTCGAAAAAAACAAACAAAAAAAATCATCTATGATGTGATCCTTTGCCTTCTTCTGGCATGCAGGCATACATGTAGACAGAGCACTCATGTACATAGATAAATAAGTCTTGAAAAGTAAAAAGAAGAAGTGGGGGCTGTAGAGTCATGGAATGAGCTGACAGAGTAACTGACAGGAATGGAGTCTACCGAGCCTGCTGGTACCCGGGAACTGTTCTGTCTTCCAGGCTAAAGGGTGCACTGCTGTTCATTACCATCGCTCTCATCGGCACTGGCTGGGCCTTCATCAAACATATCCTGTCTGATAAAGACAAGAAGATCTTCATGATTGTCATCCCGCTCCAGGTACGGGAACCATGGCCGCCTTGTCAGTCTTCCCTGGGTCTGGGCAGGCCTCTCTGCAAGGAGTCAGCTCACTTGGGAACCTGAGCTGGTATCATTGTGGGCTGCAGATGGGGGCTCCTTTTCCGACTACTGACAAGTCTAGGCTTCAGGTGTGTGCTGGAGGTCCTGGTGGCCTCTTGTCTTCAGACAGGCCTGGATGCCTAGATTGTGGTTAGAGAGCTGGCAAAGAACTGAAGGACGAATATCACTGTGCTTTCTGCATTGGATGCCTCTAACAAAGTGGTTCACTTAGTGAGTAGGCCCGGTGCCCTGTAGTATTTTAAAGCTGAGTGGCACCAGTGAGTTTTTTTCCTACAAGGTGGAATATGAGAATGCCCCCATAGGGCTAACATTGATGACATCACCCTGTATTTGGAGGCCATCCATACTCTGAGGCCTGACTAACTAGCTCATAGCTCTTCAGGGAGGACCCATGGCTTATCTTACACCAGCAGTCTGTGCAAGGTAGCAGAGCCTAGAGCTGAGGGAGGGCACCAGAGCTTCCTGGCTGCCTAGCCACAGCCATGCCTTTCTTTGATGAGGTCAGCTCTCATTTAGATGGCAGCATGGGTGTGACTGGCAGGAGAGGAAGGGAGAGTGAAACTTCTGGGTCGAGTCATCTCTGGGGATTGATTGGCTGTTTGGCAGCATTCAGCAAGCAGCATGGGCTAGCATCAAATCAGTGACATAGACCAGTTGCTATAGGTTTTCAATAAGGAAATAATCACTCTGAATGATCTGGAAGAGCCTTCTAATGGAGATGGGATTTGGTTGGATGTTTAAGAAAAGGAATGTGGCAGAGGAGTAGCCACAAATACCTGTGATACTGCCATCAGAGGAGGCACATAAGCTGAGGTCTTCTGGTGACCAAGACACCATGGCCACCTCTAGAAGATGAAGTTCCATAGCCTACTGTGGAGATCTCAGAGCATGGCCTACATGTTGGGCATACATGACAGAACCAGAGCTTTCCTTCCAACTGTGGGTATTGCTGGTAGTATCCCTCTGACCGATTTGAGCTTTTGATCTGTTGGTTCCTCCCCAGCCTGAGCTGGGGTGTGATGGAGACTTCTGCCCTGCTCACTCCTTTGAATGGTGAACACACAAGGCCTCACTGAATGCTCCCCTAAGGAAATATGGATGTTTGAACTAAAGATAGATAAGGAAGTTAGTATTTAGACAATGAGACTTCTCTGGGAAGGGCTTGACCAAAGTCTAAGCAACTTCCTTTTGCCTTGGGAAGTACCAGAAAGTTTCCATTCGTCCTCTTTCTCCCCCTCCCCCTCCTCTTCCTCTTGTTCCTCCTCCTCCTTCTTTCCTTTGTTTTTCTCGTGCTGCTTGGTATGAAACCCAGGATCTTGAACAGGCAAGGCAGGCACTCTGCTGAGCTCCCCCAGCCCCCACCTGAAGCAGGAGAGAGTAACGTGGTGTTGAAGAGCACTGTGGTCAGCTCTGCTTCTGGAACAGTCTCTTTCATGCAGACTGTGAATTGAAGTCCAAGTGGAATTAGGGTTTGCATTTCTAGACTCGGCCAGCAAGCCCAGCCATCATCCTGTCTCCATCCTACTCCGAGCTGAGCTGGGGTTATAATTCTGTTCAGGACACTTGGCTTATTAAATGAATTCTGGGATCCGACCTCTGATCCTTGTGATTGCTTGGCAAGCACACTTAACTGCTGTACTCTCTCTCCGTCCCAACATACCTATCTTTATCTCTGCATCCTAGCTCGTGGTATTCACTAAAAGGAAGCAGCATAAATAATAAACTTCCCTGATGCACAGTGAGGTCTCAGTTAAGTCAGTTGAAAACTTGTCCATGATCTGATAAGAGCCCAAGGATAGGGCTGAAAACACAAGGCAAAGCCTTAATATGGAATTAGAAACAAGACATGGAAGTGGATGAGCCTCCGAAAGACCTATGTCCTGTGCAGCATAGGGACCTGGGCTAGCTAGCCCCTTCGAGGACCAGAGCAGTCTCTGAAATCTGCACTTCTTGCCACTCTGGTCTCGATATCAGCTACTTAGAATTATTGTCCCTGAGGACTAAGAATTCTCAGGAAGAACTGAGCCTGAGGAGTGTTGACATCCTAGCTATGAGGGATGTGAAGTGCCACCTGACCGGCAGCTTTTGGGACTGCCTGAGGCTCGGGTGCCCTGGGGCAAAGTGTTTCCATTACCCAGTGCTCCATGCCACCCCAAACTTGATGGTTTCAGGAAACACTAAGCAGCAAGTCTCCATTTCTGTGGGCTAGGGTGTCTTGATTGCAGAGGCCTGACCCAAAGTCTGGCCTGCTTACAGTTTATTGGTTACTGGGGTCTGGATTAGTATAGTCTTCCCTAAGTCTGCGTCCTAGGCTGGGAAGACCTGATCAGATAGTGAGGCTCCTTGGGTGTCTGTTTTTCACACAGTTTCTCAATGGCTTAAGGGAGCCTTATAAGAAGGCTCAAGGTTCTGCAGAACCCAGCAGGGGGTGGAGTGGGGGGTAGAAGGAATCTATACTCACTTCGTAAATCACATGGCAGTATGGATAGTTCTCAGGCTCGACAGGTTCAGGGGCTAGCAAGGTAGGAGACAAGGTTCTCCGGGAGCTTGTGAGTCTAACAGTATCGCTGCAGCCACAGGCTGAGGCTCAGCCCAGGTGAGCTGAGGTGAGCTTCCCACTTGAACCACTGTCATAACAGCACTCATGCTTTGGTCTCATGCCTGCAGGTCCTGTCAAATGTGGCCTACATCATCATAGAGTCTACGGAGGAAGGCACGACTGAGTATGGCCTGTGGAAGGATTCTCTGTTCCTGGTTGACTTGCTGTGCTGTGGTGCCATCCTCTTCCCAGTGGTGTGGTAAGCAACCTTAGGGCAGTGTGTACAATGTCACAGGATAGCTTTTTGCAAAACACTGCTCAGTTTACCCCAGGCTGCCCCAGATAACTAGCTCAGGGTGGGATTCTGGGACTTCAATACTCCAGGTCTTTGCTACTGAGAGTTACCCAAGGGACTCCTGTAGAGCTGGTCTGGACCATAGGCCATGGGGCCCAGAGTTTGATAAGGGCTGAGTAGGAGAATCATTTTTCTTGCTAGCTTAGATGGAAAATGAGAACATACACTCACGTAAACTAATGGTAGTTCTCAGGCCAAATGCATTTTGGGCTCTGGAGAGTAGTTTGTTCTGATCCAGAAGTGGTGGACTTCAGACTTGTGCTTTGATTGTACGTTAAAGGTGTCATTGTCATGCTCTGTGGTGGAGGGGCCTTGTGAAGTCGTGGCAGAGAGATGCAGATTGCTGCCTTAGGGCAGTCACATAGACAGAACAGCCTGGTGACGGCACATCTCCCGCTCATCCTTGGTGTCTGGCCACTGCTTCTTCAGTGCTGTTCACGCTGAGTTACTGTTGAGGAGTGCAGTGCTCATTGCTGTAAGCCAGTGCTTTCAAGAATCCTGTTGTTGTCTGGTGTATTATCCAGCCATTCTGATTTTTCATGGTTCTAGATAGAGTCACCTTCCCCATAGATTTTGCACAACACCAGTATTCATGTCAGCTAACTGCTACCAGAGTAGAGGAGGGCTGGGAGGGCTGGGCTGTGGCCCGGGGGGCAGAGTACGTTCCTCCTAGTGCTTGAAGCCATAGATTCCTTCCCCCAGCACAACAATACACATGGCAGGGCAGTGCATCTAGAATTTCAGCATGAAGGAAGTCAAGGCAAAAGGATCATAAGTTCAAGATCATCCTCTGCTACATAACAATTTTGAGACAAGCCTGGGCTACATGAGATCCTGTCTCAAAAAAGAAATTGGGTGCCGCCTTTGAGTCCCCTAAGCCACAGGAGGGGTTAGGCCGCACCACCATAGCAATTGCTGGTACATCACTGGGGCTTCCTGCCCATTACAGGCGCCCTAAAAAACAAAAGAAATGGAGGAAAGACCATTCATTACTATGCAGTCTCCCTCTTGCATTGCTGTGTGCCCGCAGCAGGCAGCTCAAACATCTACCCAGAACAGTCGTTGGAACAACAACAAGGGTCCCATCTGAGTATTGTCTTACTTTTCTACTGCTATGATAAGATACCATGACCAAATGTATAGAAGAGAGAATTTATGTGAGGGTTATGGTTTCAGAGAGTTAGAGTCCATGACCACCATAGCTGGGAGCATGGCAGCAGGGAGGCAGGCATGGCACAGGAACAGTAGCTGAGACTTCATGTCTTGATCTGTGACTGGGGAGCAGAGAGCACTAACTCAACCTAAAACCTATGTGGAGGTTTGAATATGGTTGACCCAGGGAGTGGCACTCTTGGGAGGTGTGGCCTTGTTGGAGAAAGTGTGTCACTTTGGGGGTGGGCTTAAGATCCTCTTCCTAGCTGCCTGGAAGCCAATCTTCTCCTGACTGGCTTTGGACCAAGATGTAAAACTCTCAGCTCCTTTTCTAGCACCGTGCCTGCCTGCATGCTGCCATGCTTCCTGCCATGATGATAACGGACTGAATCTCTGAACCCGTGAGCTAGCCCCAATTAAATGTTGTCCTTTATAAGACTTGCCTTGGTCATGGTGTCTCTTCACAGCAATGAAACCCAAACTAAAACAGCCTACCTCCAGTGACACACCCACTTCAAGAAGGCCACACCCCCAACCCTTCTCAAATAGTTCCACCAGCTGGAGCCACAGCATTCAAGTGTATGAGTCTGTGGGGGTCATTGTCATTCAAACCACCATAAGCATAGAGCTTGATTCAGCACTGAGCAGTACCTAATGACAAGATCCCTTATGGGACACATTCTAAAAATTGCTGCAAGAGATGAGATTTTAATAAATATAGAAGAAACAGCATCAGTGGGCCAGTGAGATGGAGTTTTATCTCTGGAACCCACACGAGAAAAGGATAAAACCAATACAAGCAAATTGTCCTCTGCCTTCCATACGTGTGCATGTACACACCTACACATTGATTTAAATGCAATAAATAGCACTATTAGCATTTTGAAATACTTGATTAAGCCAGCCTTGGTTCAGCACTAGCATAAATTACCTTTATGCTAATAGCATTGACGTATTCATTTCTCACGAAGTTGGAGGAGTTCTGGCGTATTTTACTGAGGCTTTAGAAGTGGTTTATCTATAAATAAGAAGGTCAGTGTTAGAACGAGCCCTGCCTGCGGAGCCCTGGCTCACTTCCCTTGCACTTCCTTGTCTGTCTGCACAGGCTTTCCCCTGTGGCTGTGAACTGTGCCGACAGCTCCAAGGCTTTCTTATTTTATGTCTTGTTCTTTGAGCAGGGACTCACTGTGGAGCTCTGTCTGTCCTGATGCTCACTGTTAGCCCAGGGTGGTCTTGAACTCTCAGCCAGGGGCAGGGGCTGTGTCAGCCTCCTAAGTGCTGGGATTGCAGACCTGCACCTCAGTGCCTGTCTTCAAGGTGTCTTTAATAATGTTAACGTCCCTGCCTAGACTGTAGTGATGGTGGTTAGTTATCCCAGCATAGCCTGGAAAAGGTTGCCAGAGACTGGCCTTTTCCAGGTCTATGAATCTTACTTACCAAGTGCAATGAGTTCATGGGAAGCCCCAGATCTTCACAGCTTCTAGGAATCAGCCGTGACTTTCTCCTTGGGTCCTTTCCCTGCCTGGCAGTGCTACTCAGCGCTGCTTGTCCTGAGGGACTGGAGTTGGGGGAATGAAAGCAGAGTTAAGTGATGGTGTTTTTCTCACCCCTCCTGCTGGCTCTGATTCTGCCAGCAGAGGGCATCTTTCTCTCAGCCTGAGCACCATAAATGGCCAAGGATGGACTGACACAGATAGCTTGTTTTAGGGAGGGAGCTGTGTAGTCATCTGGTCCAAAGCCTTCAGTTTATAATGGGGCTCGGGTCCCAAGCTACTAGAGCCAGAAATAGAAGAGAATGCAGGCTTGCCCACTAACCTTTATCTCCACATGGTTATTTTTAGGTCAATCAGGCATTTACAAGAAGCCTCAGCCACAGATGGAAAAGGCAAGTGTCTGCTGCCCCTGTGCTCCTCGCTCTGCACTGACGCTCACCCTGCTGACAACCGGGATAGGGTCGGGGGCAGGATAGGCAGAGGTGGGACTCGCTCTGTGGGGCAGCAGGGATGATTTGGTCAGGAAGCAGGTGCTGAGTTACAGGGAGGCCTGGCCAGTCACTGTGTGTCACTTCTGCTCTCCATTGTGATTTTGATCTTTACTTATTTTTTTTAATTACCAAAAAATTTTGTTTTATTTTCCAAGACAGGGTTTCTCTGTCCTAGAACTTACTCTGTAGATCAAGCTAGCCTCAAATTCAGAGATCCACCTGCTTGCTGAGATTACAGGCATGTACTACCATTCCTGGTCCAAGATCTTCACCTTTCAAAACCAAATCCAGTAGAAAATCCTGTCTCTGGAGGGACTGTTGGGGTCTGGGGAAGGTCAGAGAGCAGCAGTCTGTGGGAATACTGGGTCTGGAGGTGGAGGTGGCAGCGTGCAGCTTCCTTCTGGCTGCTGCAGCAGTGTGTGCCTTGTTTCTCTGCAGTGAGAGACTCAGGCCAGTGAGCCTCTGCATTGCCTGGTGTCCAGCACTGTCCTCTGATGACTGCAGGCAAGCTTGCCTTTCCACCTGTGCTAAGACCGACGGCAGAGCTGTGTGTCTCTGGTCTACACCAGTCTGTGGACTGCCCCTCAGGGTGGAGGAACAGCTCTTAGAACACATGAGATTGCTCCCCTGGCTGCACCCCAGAACTTCATCACTGAGCAGTTGTTGTTAGAAAAGTATCGATTCATTTTAGACAATATGGAAGACATACTAGCTATAAATCACTTCATAGGCTTGATAACTTATATCACATTATCTTACTTTTGAGGTTGTTTCGTGGGTTTGGTGTTGAGATGAAGTACAACATGTACGTCACCACTGAGCTGCCCTCCCCTCCACCATGTCCTCAGGTTTCATTGAATTAAATGAGTCCTGGCTTTGAGGGTTCAGTTCTCTTCAAGACCTGACTGTGCTCATTGGCTATTTATGTTCTGTTCAGCTTGGGCCCAGAATAGCCCGTACGGCTGTCCAGGCTTCTCAACGCTGGGCAGCCCGGTACAGGAGATGCTCTCTGCCCTGGCTGGAGCCTAGTCCAAGCCCAGTGGTCTCCACAGGTGCCCAGGGCCAGCTCTTCTATCTCAGCTGTACTGAGATACAGCCTTTCTGTCATGCATTTCTCTTCTTCCCCTCCCCATCACACCCTCAGCAGCTGGAGTACAAGCAGTTTGGGCAGCATGCCTGTGACTTCCAGGACCTCACCACACCCCCTGCAGTGGGCAGAGGGAGTGTGAGGAGAGTGTTCTGAGCCCGCTGTATTGGATGTACATTATATTAAAAGGTGACATTGCTTTTCTAACGTAATGCATAGGGGTTTTTCTCAGTGTATTAAGGATGGCCATTTTATTTATTCATTCATTTCATATGTGCATTGTTCTACCTGCATATAGTCTATATACCATATGAGTAACTCACAGACAGCTGTGAGCCGCTGTGTGGGTGCTGGGAATTGAACCCAGGTCCTCTGGAAGAGCAGCTAGTTCTCAGAACTGCTGAGCCACCTCTCCAGCCCTGATATCTTTTTCTGGTTTTGTTTTTGTTTGTTTGTTTGTTGAGACTAGTCTCACTAGATGGCGCTGGCTGTCCTGGAACTCACAGAGATCCTCCTGTCTCAGGTTACCTTTCTTCTTGCATGTTTTGGTATTTCTAAATTAAGATCCTATAGGCAGTGTTGCTTAGGTGGAAAGTTCTGCCTGGTTGTCTCCTAGGATTTGTGGTCCCCTGGTGATGGCCTTTGGCCCCCCCCCTTTTTTTTTTTAACCATCTTTCACTGCTTATCATTTTAGCCTCTGCCCGTTTTGTTGTCCCCACTTTGTCTTCCATCTTGTCCTGGGTGTGACTGGAGGTTGGTCTGCGATGACTCATCCACAGTGCTTCTAGTTGAGGATGGCAAGAAAGGGCTTAGCCTTGGGTAGATAGCACAGCAGGTCCTCCAGACAGTTTGCAGAAAAGTTAACCCAGTGGTTCTCAGCCTTCCTAACCCTAATTCAGTTCCTCATGTTGTGGTGACTCCAACCACAAAGTTATTTTGTTGCTACTTTATAATAGTAATTTTGCTACTGTTATGAATTGTAATGTGAATATTTGTGTTTTCCAATGGTCTTAGGTGACCCTCAAAGGGATCAGGACTGTTGGCGTAGATCAAGGTCACATGAGGCTGTTCTTCTGTCCTCCACTGGGTGGCAGTATGTGACTTCTGTATTGCAGCCCAGCCTAGGAGTTAACACTGTAGAACCCCTTGTCCCAGAGAAAGGCGAACGAGTAACAGAATGCAGGAGTCTTCTCTACAGGGTGTTTTTGAGTGGATCCAGAAGTGTGGACTTTACTCTGTTCTTCGAAAAACAGCTTCCAGAGTCAAAGAAGCCATGTTCCCACAGAGAAGCAGGGGGACCAGCATACTGTGCTAGCAGGTCAGGGTCAGTGTCACCATAGTCTGGCCCTGCCTATGGGGCAGACACTAGCTGCTGGTTCCCATGTGTTGGGTCCTCTGACCCCTTGGTCACTCTGGGGGTCTTGCTTGTCTTCGAGGTCGGTTGTAGGAGGTAGTGGCACAGGGTGGCCTGGCGCTACACTTCCTCTTCTCAGCTCTTCAGCCATGGACTTGTCCCCTGACCTTCATCATGATTCAGGCTTGTATAGATGCAGTGAAGATGAACAATCAAGCAAATGCTGTTGAGAGTGTTGGGCTCCGTGTACCCCTCGTCTCTGGAGTCCCTTTGGCTGAACTTGAAGAGCACAGAGGAGAGCGTTGAACGGCTGCCTGAGCCTGCCCTTTTCTTTCCCACCACATGCTGAGGCTTCTCTCAGTCTACAGCTTTGAGGTGCCTGGGTGAGTCTTGTGAGACAGAGTGCAATGGCTCCCTGTGCTCCAGCCTCCTGCCAAGATGTGCTGACTGCTTGGCCCTGGAACCTGCAGGATTCTTCTCTCCAACTCTCTCTCCAGTGTCGTGACCTTACAGTACTGGCTTGGGCATATGCTGATAACTTGAATGACAGGCCCTACCTCTAGTCATTTTTTGCCTTCTGTTCCTGAGGGAAAAGCAGCAATATTCTAAAGAGCCTTCCATTTTATATCCACTTGAGAAGTGTGCTGATTGGATGGCTGCAGGCTGGTGGGGGCGTGGCCTCGTTCTGAGCAGCTTCTCCATGGAACGTGGTTTTAACACTGTCTCGGAGCTCTGTAGGTCACAGTGGCTTCATAGCCCATTATCAGTAGCCTTAGTTATTGTTCTATTGCTGTGAAGAAACGCAAGCCACAATGCTTATAAAGGACAGCATTTAATTGGGGGCTTGCTTACAGTTTCATCGTGGCAAGGGACATGGTGGCAGGCATGGCAGCATGGTGCTGGAGAGCTAGATCCTGACCTACAGAGAGAGAGAGGAGAGTCTAGGCCTGGCATGAGCTATGAAAACCTCAAGGCCCTCCTGCCAGTGACACACTTCCTCCAACAAGGTCCTCCTGCCAGTGACACACTTCCTCCAACAAGGCCATGTTAATATGAGCCTATCGGGCCATTCTTACTCAAACCACCACAAGTAGCTCTTTGCTCAGAGTGCCTCACTAGTGTGCAGAAAACTATTACAAGGTCAAACAGTGATGTCTGTGCAGGATCGGAGCTGCAGCCTCTACCACAGCAACTACCAAGTTCTTTTATTTATTATACTTTATTTTGTTTTTTTTTTCCTGAGTATTTTGGACACACACAGACACACACCTTATGCATGCCTGGTGTCCTTGGAGGCCAGAAAGGGGCACTGGGTCCCCTGGAGCTCGAGTTTACAGACTGAGCCACCACATAGTTGCTGAGAATCCAACCCAGCTCCTCTCGAAGAGCAACGAGTGCTCTTACCCTCAGCCAGGCCACCAGGTTGTTGTTTACTGGTACCTACTTGTGGGGTGAGCCAGGGTTGCGCTCTCTTAGAGTGTCTGAGTGGAAAGTAGAAGTACGCTTGGTCCTGCAGTGTAGTGGGATATAAGCCATGTGTCTTAAAAAAGGACAGCTATTGTCCCAGTGTTTATTGCCAGGATACAAGTTGTACTTTTGACTGTAGAGTAGAGCATAGAAAAGCTCACGTTTACCATGTGAGCATGAGCTTTCTAGTTCTTAAAACCCTCAAGGGTATGCAGAGGGGACACACCAGTGAATAACTGTCTAGGAAATGCTTCAGTGTCTGAGAAAGAGCAGTGCTGGTCACTGAAACAATGTGCTCCACCTGATACATGACATCACACTGTGTTCACCTGGCAGGTGACATCACAGGCAGGCAGGCAGAGGCAGAGCCTCAAAAGGGAAAATTAACAGCAGTGAGGTGTTCCTCATTACAAGACATTTTATTTCCAATGTCTGCTAGCCTCAGTTACCTCCTGGCAAGGTGCTGTCTTACTTGGATGTGTTCACAGGAAGCCTGCAGGGTGCTCCATAACCGTTTCTGTGCAGTACCATGATTCTTGTTTCCTCTCAGCTCCCTACAGGTGCTGCTTCTCAGCCCTTGTCTGGGCAGTAGATGTATTTGAGGGTTTGGAGAGATACAGGCCTCGTGTGTCTACATTAAGTTGCTTGCTTTTCATTCCAATCTCTGCATTTGTGTGTACACCATGACATGCAGGTGGAGGCCACTAAGGTCCCCTCAGTTATCAGTTCTGTGTACCCTAGACCAGGGATCTTCACCTGCCACTCGCTAGAGTAGCACTCTGGGATTGCAGATGTCGAATGGCTATGTTGGCTTGCGTGTGTTCTGGGGACTCTTAACTTCATGGCTTCCTTCTTGTTCAGCAGGTGCTTTACCTACTGAACCTTGGGTGTTTGTTGTTTTTGAGTCAGGATTTTGTTCTAGCCCAGACTAAAATCTCACTCTGTATGTAGCCCAGGCTGGTCCAGAACTCATGATGATCCTCTATCTCAGCC